AAAGGGCTCCTAAAAGTTTTGCTTTGCTCTGTGCTCTCATTTACTTTTATGGATAAACAGAAGTTGCAAAATCTCAACAGTATTGAACGTCATTGCTTCTTCTACTGAACTGTATCCAATTATTTAATGGATATGCGAGGCTCCATTGGACGTATTTATGCACGTTGCACGCGAATCGTATGCGCACAGTTCCTGTTAGCATAAATAAGTCCAATAGATAGGTAGAATGACTTACGCTGTCCAAAGTGTATATAACTTACCTATAATCCTTAGAAAAATAATGATAAACAATATCGAAAACAGTATGTTCTCAGAGAGATAAGACTTAAGTCGTTCCGTCTTCGAGGACGCAAAAAACTTCACTCTCTGCTCAGTCTCAAGAGGAAAATGAAAACATTTTTGTTTAACCTAGTATTCACGGCGAGAGGGAAATAAACATCTTGTGAATACTCGCCCCTTCTTTTCTACGGTTTGTCAGGGACGGGACTTGTAATCTGCTGCATGTGATCTCTAGATGACAAATTGTTTTTACTTGTCTTCTCGATGTTCCTTGGTGGTAAAACTTGACAAATAGCGCGGTTAGCATGTTCGTTTCTATCACGTTTGATACCAGTGGTTACTTGTCCGAGATCACATAAACCCTTATGAATTCTGCTCTCATATTTCCTATGGAGAAAAATGATTGTATTTACATGGAATTCTGGGGCAACTAGGGGAGTTTTCAAGAAATTACGTCGACTAGTTTTTGAAATAAAAAATAAAGTGTGAAAGGAAGTCTGCAACGTCGCAAAAGAAGATACGCGGTTTCGCATTTTGACCATCGATATATGTCGCAGGCAAATAGTGAAATCAGGAATTTTCTCAAATGCCTGGGCAGATAGTTAACTTTTGACGGTCTACAAAATTTTGTGAACTAATAGCGAAGAGCTCACGAGTTTTCAATATTTTTGGAAAAATAACTCATAAAACTTACGAACTATTTTTGTCTCTCTCTCTCTTCAATTTCTTCTCATATTTTTAAATTTTGAAATTCTAAAAATTCTGTATTTTATGACATGCTGAGAATTTGGAGATGAGTGTCTGTTCAGGAGCTGAAAATTGTTTCAAATACTTTTGTGTGATGCAAATTTTCATTAAAATGTTTTTCTTACGGGAGCAATCGATTATTTTGTCTAAAATGAGGAAAATAATCAGAATTTCAATCTCAGTTAGAATATTTGACTTTTTGCCTAGGCATTTGACAAAATGCCTGATTTTACTATTTGCCTGCGACAGATATATCAACCTATAGAGAATCTGCACTTTCTCAAGAATTGTGACAGCTTCGATTTTGCCGCTAAGAGGGAGGATTGCTTTTCCATTTGGCGGCAGTTGCCTCGACGGGTTAGTAACTTCCCGCAAAGTGCCGGAGAGATCCTGAGATACGGGCGAGCGGAAGAAATTAGGATTTAATACCGCGGCGCGAAAACGGAAAACGGTGCTCCGATAACGGCGACGCGGTTTTTCGCGAGGAGATAAAATAGAGTATTTTTCGCGATCTGTCGGTTCTCGACCTTTGCCGCCGGACCCGGCGATATGGAAAAATTGTTTGCCTAATGTTCCAAGCATTCAAAATGTGATCATCCAGGGATGAGCTCTTTATCAAAAATCATTTCTCTGTCCGAATCAGCGCCAGCGGCGTGGCGTGCTTTGCGATGTATCGATCGATCTGCCGTTTGAACCTTTGGAAAAGGATCGATTATCAGGGTGTTCGCAAAGATTAGCTTAATAATCGATTCCTTACCGTAGTTTAAAATGGAGAAGTATTGATAATATGATCCGAATGAGAACCTTTCATTATAAGTCATAATGTGCTCTAGACCGGGAGTTCGGTTCGACGCTCGAAGATATTCCTATTGAGAGCGTCTTAGCTGATGATCACTAAGCTTCCATCCCTTTTATTCCCACCCCGTCCCATTAGCGTAACTGCTTCTTGACGTCCGTGCTGAGCCGTCTTAAGGTTTCATTTTTCCCCCCAGAAAAGGCCGAGGGATAAAAGATGGCTTTAAAGTTAGGTTGATCGATTATTTTTTTTACTCCTCATGACGTACGCGCATCAATATGGGTCTGTTGCAAACTTTTGCCGGGGCGAAAAAGAGAGAGGCCGTTTTTGAAAAGTGGCTCATGAAACATGTCGACGATGAAACTGCCAGACCATGTATCGTGTTTGCGGTGTTTAAAATCTCCGCTCTTGTTATATTTTTTTTTGAAGGAGAACGAATCAATATCATCCCTTGAAGTTTTCACAGAATTTGCTCCGCGTAAAGAGGAAAAATCATGGAGGCTTTCAAGAATTGACGTTGAGTAGTATTTTCGTTAAAAATCTAAAGTGTGTCAGGAAGTCTACAACGTCGCAGGCTGAGATACGTGGTCTGGTAGTTTCACTGTCCATGTGGAACACATTACGGAGGTCTGTAATTCATTCATAATTTCACAATCTGCGTGAGAAACTTAAGCATTTCTTAGCCTCCCGTCTTAAACTTACTGCGGAATAACGTGATTTGACACAGAATGGTGAGTCACCCCAGTCTTAGAACTCTACGCGAAAAATGGCATCCGTTATCGTCGTCGCTCTGACAGAAGGGAATATCTCGATTTGAACGTGAGCCCTGTTTTACATACAAATCCATGCTTTCTGGGGCCCATGTGAAAATTGAGATACTTCCCTACGCCAGAGAAGCGGCGTTGTGTGTTAAAGTTCTCCACTTCACAATAAAAACCGTAAATTACCGATGCATCTTTGAAAGTTTAGCTCTTCAAATAGGTGGGTTATTTTGATTTTTTTATTGTACGAATGTGATGAAAGTTTTAGTTAAAATGAAAAATATGTATAAAAATTGTAGCGATTGACTGAAAGCAAGGAAGGCTCAAAAAGTTTGAATTTAAAAGAGTCAAAGCGGTGGCTGATTCCATCTAATTCCCTTTGAGCCGAGCTACATTGAGGTTAAAATACACAAGTCCTTTATTAGGGGGCGAAAGAGGAACCAAACAAACCAACAGAGGTGAAAAGTAGTGCGGGAAACGCTTAATTGCGGAAAATTCCCGCGAGTTTGCCATATGAGTGAAAGCCTCTCATAAAAGCTGCGACCAATGACTCGAGGCGAAAACTCTTGAGCCTCAGTCCCTGTAATGACATTCAAATCAAGGGTTCATGAACTTTTGGGGTATATATCGCTTCTCTGGCGTAAGAGCGTATCTTGATTAATTCATGAGCCCCAGAAAACATGGATTTTTATGTAAAGCAGGGCTCAGGTTGAAATCGAGATATGCCCGAACGTCAGAAGGATGGTATTTCTATGGACTAAAGCGCGGATTAGCGTGCGAGTTTCGGCATCTCTGGAAGTGCATCGGGATAGAGGCCGGGTTCTGATGCGCGCCGCGGCTCTCTTTTTCCTGTGGGAAGCTGGATCCAAGTTGCTTGGTTGCCCGCGATTCGTCCAGCGTGAAGACCGAGAGTTCTAACGTTGTTCCAAAATGTAATTTATTTTGATTTTCGTCGGCACCCCCAGACGTTGTGCCGAAACAGCAAACGAGCTGTGTTGCGGGTCGTGTTTCCTGGACCGGTCGACCGTGTTGCCGCGGCTTAGTTCTTTTTCCGAGCATATTTCTACAGGGTGATTGAAAAGTCCTGCACCACCCCCAATAACCCGTAGGGCTCTCGACGCTTTACAGGGTGAGCCCATTAAAATTTTAGGGATCCTAATAGTTGGTTTTTTTTTACCTAGAAACGCTTACAAATGTTCAATTTTTTATCTCAATTTGTGAAAAGGTTACAGGAAAGATGCTTGGTGCCGGTGGTGCGGCGTGGCTTTTAAATCACCCTGTACATATACTGATTCCTCATTTCGCGGACGAAAAATCGTAAGTCCGTTTCGACGTTGCTAAATTTCAAGTCGCGTATTGTATTATTCTCCAGAAAATGTTTATCGAAACCGTCGCTGATTTATTTTCTGAGTGAACGCAAAAATTATTGAAATAAAAAGAACTCATGAAGTCACATTTCTATAGGTAAAAAATTGAATTGGCTTAGCCAAATATGCAATATTGAAACAAACTTACGTCCCATTTTTTATAACAATGTACTTTTTGACCGACGGATTTTTGGTCAAAAGTGAATTTGACTCGACAAAAGCAGAAGTTTTCAAGAATTATAGATTTGACCGAAGGGCTTTGGTCAATTTACGATTCGACCGGTTACATCGCAATTTGACTGAATTTTGGTTTCTGACTCCCGCATATGTACAGAACTTTTCAAGGGAATATTTCAGCTCGTTTCCTTTTAAAAAAAGTTCAACAGAATGGGAGATTTTTAGACGCTTCAGTGAAGATACACATTATATTTTTACTTCAGCCGTTGATACAATCTATATGAGGGTCACAGGCGCATTTCAGCGTATGAACAATCAAGCTTTCATGGATTAATCTCATCAGTGTGAAATATTAACGTGTGCCCAAACAAGGCATTCGCACGCTCAAAAATGAATTAAACAAATAAATTAATATGATGAATCATCGTTTGAGATCTGTAGTTACCTGGTATAGATTTAGCCATCGAACGTTTTGTTGTGAGCCTCACGTTTCACACAACAATTTGTCGTCTCCCGGACAAAAGAACGAAACTCCATTCCAAGGTTGCAAATTTGACTCAAACGATTCAGTTTTTTACAAATGTGTAAATGTGCAATTTTGTTCAAAAATTGCCCGGCGGTCCTTACCTACACGAGATCTGAAGACAAATCAATGAAATTCTCAACTAGAAATTCCCAAGATTACTCTTATAGAGATTAAATTTGCGAAGGGAAATTTAGCAAAATTGAAATGCAAATACGTTCTTTTGTGTGGGGAGCGATGAATTTAAAGAAAAATCCATATAAGTTTTTACTGTATTTTTTTCCAAGCTCGTCTTTCACGGAATCGTATTGAACGTATTTTAATTTAAATTTTTTTCTTCTTTTTTTCAGAACCTTAAAAATCAAATTATGACAACAAATTTATGGGTAGAACAGGTAAGATGTTTCTTTTCATTTTTCTTCAAGGAATTCTTTTCGAGGAAGCTATTTCAACAAAGTTTATGTTGACTTTTTCCAGCAGGGTGATTACACTACTATGATGGATGAGATATTGATTTGAAATTAAAAATGAAGATGAAAAGGGGAACTCCAGCTGCATTGAAGCATTAGAGAATCAGCAATTGATGAGTGTATCGAGACCGATAAATATTGATTTTAACTCTCCTCTCTTTCTAAACGAATTTTATCTCCGGAATACTGGAGTTAATATTCCCTTAGGATTGTGAAAAATATACGTGACCGATACCGATAAATTGTTACAGCTGAGTTTCTCTTACATTCTGCTGATCCGCGTAGTGTTCACATGCTCTTTCAATAGATCGTATTCGATGCATCAAATGAGTGAGATTGTATCGATATCGATTGGTTCAAAACATAAATATAGCCTCAAAAGTCAATCGAGTAATCTGGCGGAATGGGTTTTTTGTGATGGATTTTTTATTCACAAGTGATTTAATTAGCCAAAAGTAGTAAAATTGCTAAGAAATTTCTCATTTTCAGCTTCTCTGACAAATATCCTAACATTATGGTTTGAGGCCATGTTCTATTGTTTTGAACCAAACGATCATCGAACCACTATCGAATACAATCCATTTCGGCTGGAAGATATGCGCACCTAAAGAGCAACTCTTTCGACTTCCACGCAACAGTATTGTACATAAGGCGATTTGAAGGCGATTTTTATCACTCATAATCTAAAAGTATTAAGCATGAAGTTAGTGTAGCTTACAAAAAATTAAATGAAATTACATTAAAAGGAAAAAATTAAACAAATTATGGATAGCTGGAGGAGTTCATCGAGATTGATAAACATCATGAGATCCGGCAATTTAACATAGAAATTATCCCTAGCTTGTTCTTAAGGTCAATGCCAAAATTTGATGCCCTATCAAGTTAGCGAGAATATACCCGGGACGGAATGAAGTACACTTTTGTGGATTCAGTGCCATTTCTGTTGAATGGACTGCATTTTGGATCATGGAACTACTAGAGCGGAAATTACAAAACCTTGAATGAAACAATCGAAAAATTTAAAAATAAACGCACCCAATTGAATTAAAACCACGCTATTGGTTTCCTTAAGTTCCGTATGGATGAACCAGAAAAAGTAGTTTCCTATTGCAAAATAAAGTCTAAATGATAACTAATGAATGACACGCACGTTGAGCAATTCAGAGAGTTTTTCGTATTGGATCTTCTTTAATTTTGTCGGACAGGTTTCTCAACACGTTGCACTCATTTGTCGTCATTACGCGAGATTGAGTACTAATCCCAGAAAGTTACGTTTCCAACAGGGCAATCTAAGGTTTCGGTGATAAATCTCCTCACCCAATGGAAAAAGACACCATTTTACCGGTCCTTCGTTTCAAAAATAAGTGACTCCAAGCCGACTGATTTAAGAAAAACGGCTACGTTCTTTCTCGAGAAGCTTCGATCTTGCAATTTGATAAAATTGTATCTGAACAGTCTGGAGATTATTATCTGTGAGTTATCTTTTCGTCCTGGTTTTTCTTGAGTAATTCCTGTCTTAAGGGATGTGCATTTCAGACAAATTATTTCTTTCTTCAGGCCACAAAATTAATTTGACTATCACTAAAACATTGTGCGCGTTCGAAATTGCGAGACACGTTGGAATTTCGAGCGCGCACAATGTTTTAGTGCTAGTCAAATAAATTTTGTGGCCTGAAGAAGGAAATAATTTCTCCAAAAAGTACATCCCTTAAGACAGGGATTACTCAAGAAAAACCAGGACGAAAAGATAACTCACAGGTAATAATACCCAAACCTGGTAAAATGAAAAACCCATATAATTTAGTCTGGAGATTATTTCAAAGTGCATATTGTAAAAATGGAAAAGAATCAATTAGTCTTTCCGCTGGACACATTTACATAAAGAACCACGTATCATTAACAAAAGCTCATCAAATTCGTTTAATCTTTATTTCAGTCGTGGAATGACTACAAACTCAAATGGGACCCTAAAGAATATGGCGGTGTGGAAATGCTCCACGTGCCATCTGATCACATTTGGAGACCTGATATTGTTTTGTATAATAAGTAAGTGCTACTTCTCATTTAGTGTTACGCACAAGAATTGGAAGGAAATTAATATATCTCAGGATGCGATTTGGCTTCAGATTGTATGTACCGGTTTCCGCCGCCTGCGATGCCTCTACGAGGAGCTATTTTGAGCCCGTTTCCGAGTGGTAAAGCTGTTGTTAGACGTCCGTTGTTTTGGCGATAATATCTCCACTTGGAAACTTTCATCATGTTCTGAGGCATATTTTTGTTCTCATTCTTTTTTTTACATTATATTTGCGCTGTGGTCTCAAAACAATGTCCATTCATAATTTTTTTTCGCTGCATAAACAAGTCAAAGAAGGCTGCTACAAGATTGAATAGTGGACAAAACATTTTAATAAAAAATTGCCCTTAAGAATGGACGTATCTCCAAAAGATCTCTCCGAAGATCCGATAATCGCTCGGGAAAATTACCGTCAAAGCAATACAATTTTATCTACAACTTTCTTACGGGGCAGACAGGTGATCAGAATAGCTCCAATCCTAAAATATGTGCTATTGGGCGTAATACCACTATTCGACCTCTCAGGAGCTCGGTGTGCCTACTTAATTCATTGAAGGCGTTTTCATTTGCCGTCGTCTCACGCTGAATTCCTTTGAATGAACTACCGTGGTAACAAGCAGATCCTCACTTGAAACTGTTTCTCCTTTAATGGCCCTTTTGCATTAGATGTCTAATACTGTGCCTTCTGCGTGCATTCAGGTGGCGGAAGTTTAAGTTAGTTATAACCTACGGTCATATCGCAACATAATTCCGGTTCTTTATGAGACGGCCCATGTTTATACATCGATTGGATAGCATTTTGCAAAAGAGAACCAAGAGTATTCCAATGTCGTTATGATTGTGCAACTTTTTTACCTCGCAAATAAAAAATGATCATCTGAACAAGTTTTACCTCTACTTCCAATGAACTAAAATCCAAAACAAAATTACCTTTGTCAATTTAATTTTCTGCGTGATTTCAATAGTTTTATTGCAGAGAATGTAACTTGCACAATCTTAGCAACATTGGATTTCTCTTGGTTCCTTTTTTTAATTAATTTTGATTTTGATACTTTTTTTATTTTTTTTTTTAATACCACGTAGGTATATAATAATTTCAAAGGTGAAGAATGTTGCTTTTTTCAAAATGTATTGGGTTTCCGCTTCATATTGAGATTGCAAAATTAGATAACGTGGTTATCGTCATTCGTGGAGTCCACACAAAGTATTTAAATGTCACTCATAAATTACACGTTGACCTCTTCAAAGTCAAATTAGGTCCGGCACATTTTAATCAAAATACGCCCTTTTAAATTTCATTGACTTGGAGGTGGCTGAGGTAATTGTACCCTACGAATATACATTTTCTGCACATAAAAGATAGCGAAGAAGATTCAATGACCAATGAGTAATCAGAGGTGGCCTCAAAATGTTGGCCTGGTCGTATGGGAAAGCGAAGTAACGTATTTGACAGATTGTTGCCAGAGGATTATAAAACAAGGAGATTTCAGTCCCAATTATATGGACGTATATTCAAATGAGAAGGAAATATGTCCATCATGACATGGCCCTTGCAATGCATGTATTCTTATAGACCCTAGGGCTCATACTGGAATGGACATAGTTCCTTTTTTTTTAAAATTTGTCCGTATTTGTATTCAAGAATGTCAAATGGACTTTATTTTGAAGTAATCAAATTTTTGTATTTTCTCTAGTGCTGACGGTAACTTTGAGGTGACGTTGGCGACTAAAGCAACCCTGAACTACACGGGCAGGGTTGAGTGGAAGCCTCCGGCCATTTATAAGTCCTCTTGTGAAATAGACGTCGAGTATTTTCCTTTCGACGAACAGACTTGCGTCATGAAGTTTGGATCGTGGACCTACGATGGCTTCCAGGTAAATGCAACATTTCTAAATTGCAAAAAATCAATTTTAAAAAATAATCCATGCCTAAAAAACCACTGGCTGATTCCTTAAAAAATACGGCATGAAATTATCATGATTGACAGCCAAAGAAAAATTCGATTTCTTACTGAAGCATATCCAGATAAAATCCATGCATGTTATCCGTAGTGGCGTGGCGTGCTGTGCGATCTGTCGAGTGATCCGCCATTTGAACCTATGGAAAAGGATGAATAAACCGGGTGGACGCAAAGGACACCTTAACAATCGATTATTTACCATAGTTTCAAATGGAGAGATATCGATGATCGATCGTTCACGCCTAACTACTGGTTATCCGACGGAGACTATTGCTTGACCGATTAAACAAGGCGCGGTTTTAAGCCAAAATACGAATAACTCCCGATCACGAAACGCAATGACGTTATTTTACGTTTATTGCGGTGGTACTCAAACTTGGGCTATGCACTAAGCAATGCCATCTAGAGGATTATACTGGAATTAACTCTTCGTCTAAAGGGGTGGATGCTCCGAGAACAGGGGGGCGCGGACTACATTAAACCACTATACCGCAACAAATTGTTCGTCATTCCCGTCATGCTACCATTGTTGCCGTTCCACGGATTTATTCGAACCGCTCCTCTTTCAATGGTCGGAAAAGCGGGAAATCTGCCGAAATTTGACAACAATGATCAATGATCGTGCTGCTTACTATGATCACTGTTGTTATCATACCTGGAAGCATCCGGGCAGTTCGTATTTTATTCCGAATGGACATTATGCCGTGCTAAGGAATAACGCCGTATGAGCATTCGGATGTTGCCAAATTTCCTTTCAGAAAATATTTGCATATATTTTAAAGAAAGCTATGAATATTTTTCCTTGAAATTTTCAAACTGTTGCAATCAAATTACGAAGGAGATTCTCTGAAAAATCAGAAGAAAATATTTTAAAATTTTCCCGGAAATTCGTAACTCGTCAAAGGGCATTGAACAACGTTTAAAGGCTCATACGGTGTCCTTCCCTAGCATGACGGAATACTTCATAACTTCTCGGGAATCGGGTCATTTGCAAGAAGCGCATGCAGAATTGAGCTGCGATATTTCTTAGAATAACAAATCACTCTCGTGATTCTGCACTGTTGAAAACTGTCCGTTGATTCACGTTAGCCATTGCGCCTTCATTTTCATATGATACTGTGCAACGCCTCAGTGCCGCAATAGTTGCACGAGGCGCCGTGATCTATTCTACGCAGTCTCGTTCGGGAGCTATCATTCTTATCGAGAGAATTATATTTCAGAGCATGTTTAAAACCACTTTCCTCCACCAGATTCATTAATCTTATTCAAAATCTGATTCACCGCAATATACATGCGACTTTGTTTAAGAGCATTCCAATGCCGCTAACCTTGCAAACATAAACGATCATCTAAACTAGTTTCACCTCGACTACTCCCAATAAACTATGAATTCAAGACGAAAATTACCGTCGCAAAGTTTACTTTTTGCAAGGAATGTATCTAAGTTGCACGATCCCAGAAACATTGAAATGCTCTTAGTTCCTTTTTGCAAAATGCGATCCAATTGATTGTAGCTGCAAAAAAATAGTTTCCCACAACCTGCTATACAATGCTCCAGTGACCATGTAAGTTGGCCCGAGCAGTAACTTTTCGGGAAGAAAGCCTTTCCCCTACCTGGTTTTTCACTTAATATCCGCCCGAGTTTCGCATATCTTCCGTTACTCCTCATCGCAGCTTCCGACAAACCGCAATTGCCCGGAAACTAGGACCGCACATCTTATCTGATAAAATCGTTCGCCCTTTAGACCGATTCTGTGGGGTTAGGCTAGACAAGTCGATGAGTCAACTGTTGATCTAATTTCATTACGTGAAAATAGAAGAAAAACGGGGTAAAAATCACAAATGTGTGATCAATTTTCAAGGACAATTCTGTAATTTCTCCTACGATTTTAAATAGATTAAAACGCGCAATATCCAAAATCTAACCTCAGATTCGGATTCCTCGTGAAAAACTGATGCGATTTCATGCATCAAATTTTGGAATAGCGTGAAGGAAAGCAGAGGTTTAATGACGTAAAAAACACTAATGTGTGATCAATTTTCAAGGACAATTCTGTAATTTCTCCTACGATTTTAAATAGATTAAAACGCGTAATATCCAAAATCTAAGCTCAGATTCGGGTTCCTCGTGAAAAACTGATGCGATTTCATGCATCAAATTTTGGAATAGCGTGAAGGAAAGCAGAGGTTTAATGACGTAAAAAACACTAATGTGTGATCAATTTTCAAGGACAATTCTGTAAATTCTCTTACAATTTTAAATAGATTAAAACGCGTAATATCCAAAATTTAAGCTCAGATTCGAATTCTTCGTGAAAAATTGATGAGATTTCATGTATCATATGTTAGAATAGCGTGAAGGAAAAAGGTTTAACGACGCGTATAGATTCTGTCGTACTTCCCGTTTGAACCACGCCGCCGCGCCATGCCGGTCGCCCGAGATGCGACCGAACGGTGAGGCGCCGGCTTAGCGCCGGCGCGCGGCGTTCGGTTTCGTCCCGAGGAATTTCTCACGATAAATTCTTATTCTTCCTCCTCCGCTGACCCACTGAGCACTACCCATGTTGCCACGTTGGATTCATATGCGCGAATCAGTATGTATACGTTACGTCTCTTTCCTTCACGCTATGCTCGGGTATGATACATGAAATTATATCAATTTTTAACGAGGAATCCGAATCTGAACTTCGATTTTGGGTATCACGCGTTTTAAATCAAATTTTCCAAATTCGAAAATCTGAAATGACTGAAGTGGCTTAAAATGCCATCTCGGCTCCTGTTTGATGGATTCTCCTGAAATTCGGTGTCAGGGTATGATACATGAAATCGCATCGATTTTTTACGAGGAATCCGAATCTGAACTTCGACTTTGGGTATCACGCGTTTTAAGTCAAATTTTTCAAATTCAAAAATCCGAAATGACTGAAGTGGCTGAAAATGCCATCTCGGCTCCTGTTCGATGGATTTTCCTGAAATTCGGTGTCAGGGTATGATACATGAAAGCGCATCGATTTTTTACGAGGAATCCGAATCTGAGCTTCGATTTTGGGGATCACGCGTTTTAAATCAAAAATCTGTCAAAATTCAAAAAATTCAAAATTCGAAAATCCGAAATGGAAATGCTACCTCGGCCCCTGTCCGATGGATTTTTCTGAAATTCGGTGTCAGGAGGTATTTTTCGATGGGAAACTCGAATTTTTAGTCCATTTTTTAAAATTCTCAAATTCAAGATGGCGGACGTGGGCTAAAATGCTATTTCGGTTTCTGTTTATTCGAGTCTTGTGAAACGCGGTATCACAAGATCATCATCATATTTTTCAACGGAAAACTCGAATTTTTAGTCAATTTTTTACAATTCTCAACTCCAAAATGTTGGATGTGGCCTAAAATGAGCCCCGGTTCTGGCCTCCGTTTCTGTTCGTTAGAGCTATGGGAACCGCGGGATCAGGGGTACTTTTCGACGGGAAACTCGAATTTTTACTATGTTTAAAAATTTTCAAATCCAAGATGGCGGAAGTGGCCTAAAATGCTATGTCGGCTCCTGCTCGATGAATTTATGGCGCCCCCTTACTACATGCCTACTCTTGTATTTCTGTACAGCCGCAAATTTAAGGTCAAGGGGCGCCTGACCGTCTATGGACCAGGTGGAGTTTTTGTCCTGAAAATTTACCTTTCGACGGCAATTCTCTTTATATTTTGTCTATGGTTTTTATGCCCCCCCCCTTCTCGCGGACTCTCTTTTCACTTTTCTTGCCTCCTTTTTCCTTCGATTTCCCCCTTCTTCCTTGCTTTCACTGCCCAACCTTGTTTCCTTTTCCTTTTTTCCCCTTGTCCTTTCTTCCCTTTTTTTCCTTTTCCTTTTCCCCCTTTTTTCCCTCTCTTCTTCTTTCGTGGCGCCCCCCAAAGGCTGGCGCCCGTGTGCGCCGCACGCCCTGCACACCCCCTCAGTCCGGGCCTGCTTCGTTGATAATTCAACAGTTCTGAAGGAAAACAAATCATTTTTCATTTCGAGTCATTTTTGTCCAAAGGGCGATTTGATGCATTTCCGTTAAACACGGTTCAAGAAATGCGACGCTTTTGAAAAGTTGAAAAATTTCTGCTGACGTTTTACTTCTCATAGAATGTTTACTGAAATTGCTCTCCTTTGAAAATTTAAGAAAACTTCCTCCATAAATTATAAGATGGGAGATCAAACTTTCATAGAAACCATTGCAGTGGCAGAGCTGTAAGAAAATAATATTCTAAGCTGTTGCAAGTGATTTACAACCTGACTCCTCTTTTCATCAGGTGGGTTACTTCAATAGGAGGGAGGGAAGTCTAACCCTGAATGAAAGAAAAACACTGATAAAGTCAGAACTATACAAGCCTTACAGCGCTGACTGCTGAGTTTAAAATTCTCATGTTTATGATTACTTGCGTTACTTATTTGAGTTTCTTTTTTCGGTCAGGTCGGCCAAGAGAACTTGGTTGATCGACTAAATTTTTTTGTTAAATCGACCAAAGCCGTGTGTTGCTCTGAGACATCCGGGTATAAAGAAAGTGTCTTGCTGAACCGGTGTACTCCTTTATCTGTCATTGTCATTCAGGGGTTGCGAATTGCGAGTGGCTAGCGCATTGAGTTCATTATTGGGCTTTCAGAAATGTCCGTCAGCCCTGATTCAATCAGGGTCGCTCCTGACAGCTTGCACCTAATTTTTAACCAGGCTGCAAATTTTCAACTCAAAGATTTGGCCAATGTAACCCAAAGGAAACTAACCGAAAATATTGACTGCAAGTTTTCAATACTTTTTGTTCCACTCCCCATATCAACATAAACGGTCGGTTACTTTTCCTTGCTGTACATATCGGTTTTTGATACCGTTTTGACATTTGGATTGCCTCTAAAAATCTCCATATCACTCACACATATCGACG